GGGACAACAAAAAAAACAGTAACAAGGCAGTGCATATGTATTAATGTTAGGATTTACAAAGAGCTGAATTCTTGAAAGGCCACCAACATTGTGTGCCTATGAAATATTTAACAATTCAGATAACATTGAAAACTCAGAAAAAGTGTTTTTGTAGACGTGTAGACATGTATCTTGCAAATTCATAAGACAGACAAAGATTTAGTTCCAAACCCTGATTTGCCTACCAAGACAGCATTTTTAGCAACTCAAAAGCTGTTTAAAATAGACAGTCAATTATGCTGCCAAAAACAAAGCAGTGTATAAAAAAAGTATTTAAAAATTTGTTTTTAGTAATTTAAAAACAGCTGAAATAAAATATAATATTATAGAATTATTATTATTTTTTTGTTGTTGAAAAATTGCCTTGGCAGCTAACTGAAATAAAATAAAATACATTTAATTTGAAGAACTAAATTTACAACTAAAACTGAAATAAAAATTAATTAAAGATATCTATCTATCTATCTATATATATATATACACAGTATATATATATATACATACACATACACAGTAGTCACCATTTGAAGTGGATCAAAGTTGTCCTAAAACCTAAAAACAAAATGCGTTCTTGTCTTAGGACAACTTTGATTCACTTTTTTGATCCACTTCAAATGTTGACTACTGTATATAAATATATATATAAGCTAAGGAAAATGACAAAAGACACATAAAAGACAAACTAAAATTTTACATTAAAATGAAAAACATAATAAAACAAAAGCTAATTCATAAGATTAATAAATACAATAATAGAATACAAATAACACTAAAACAACAACAAAACCAAGGCAGGATGCACTATGACAAACAGTGTGGAGTCATGAAAAAGTTTTTTTTTTTTAAATAAATTATTTTATATATCTTTCTTAAATTATTTAAATGAATTAAGCAAAAATATTTCACCCAATATTTGTGTGTTATACCTAATATTGTATATTATAGACATGCTTACTTTCTTACTGCCTCAGAAGGTGAGTTGCCTATTTAAGACAGCGAGGAAGCTCACTAGGGTTTGGAACAGAGCCCAGCTGAGCCATAACAATGGCATCCAGCTCACTGTACAAACAGTCAAGTACTACAATAAAGAATTAGCAGGTAGTACCTGTGCTTCTGGCAGAGCGACATCCATTATATTTGGCTGGCTACGTGGCTCTCCGTTCTCCAGGCGGGAGTATATGACCTGGTATCCCCGGATCTGGCCGTGCTGCTTCCCAGAAAGAGGTGGCTTCCATGTCACACGAATAGCTGTGGAGTTCACAGCCTCTACTTCGACTTTCCGTGGTGGAGCTCCAGGCACTAAAAGGGAGCAATTAGATTTCAGCTTCAGGATGGAGGCTTTTAGGGTAGCTTAAGATAAAACCCCCTAACAAGTGCTAAAGTGTTGCGGTTTGGCTGAGGAGAGGTATTTATTTAACAATATTTGTTGGTTAAAGAACATTTATCATGCTGGGAGAAAAGCTAATGTGGCTTCAGTAAGAAGATTGTTCACAATAATTCAAGGATGCAGAAGACAGTGCAAAAATCTGCTAAAAATAAGAACTGCTAAAATTTTGATGAGGATGTGCAGAAATGCTGCTCAGCTGACATGCTTCAAGATCAATGAATTTACTGATTGTGGCCTCATAGGAATATCGTGAAAAAAGCTGACCAGAGGGGGGAAACTCGTGACACTATTTCTAGGGAAGCTGATGAGACCAAGGTATAGACAAACAAGCCTGAAGGCGATGTAAGACGTGAGAGGAGGAGAATCAGAGGAATGAAGAATGAGAAAGAATGATTTGAGATATATATAGAGAGAAAGGGAAAGAGATGAATGAATGAAGAAGCTAGTGGACCAAGATTCACTACTGGTCAAAAGTTTGGAATAATTCTGATTTTTTTTTTTCTGTCTAATGCTCACCAAGGCTGCATTTATTTCATGAAAAATACAGTAATATTGTGAAACATTATTACAATTTAAAACAACTGTTTTCTATTTGCGTATATTTAAAATCAGTAACAAAAATCAGTCTAATATGCTGATTTGGTGCTCAAGAAACATTTCTTATTATAATCAATGTTGAAACATTTTTGCTGCTTCATATTTTTGTGGAAACCATTATATATTACCATTCAAAAGCTTGGGGTAAGTAAATTAAATAAATAAAATATAAATATTTATATTATATTTACAAATATAAATAAGTTACAACAAATTTCTATAAAAAAAACGCTGAAATTTCGATTTATCAAAGAATCCAGAAAATATGTTTCTACAGAAATATTAAGCAATATTACATTTTCTACATTGTCAATAATTAATAACTGAGCACCAATAATAATTTTATAATAATTTATCTGCATATTCAAATGATTTCTGAAAGATCCAGCTACACCATTAACAGGAATTCATTGCATTTTAAAATTTAATAAAATAGAAAAGTTATTTTAAATTGTAATAATACTTCATAATATTACTGCAATATTAATGCAGCTTTGGTGAGCCTAAGAAGCTTCTTTAAAAAACAAACAAAAAACAAACAAAAAAACTATATATATATATATATAAATCTTATTATTCCAAACTTTTGACCAGTAGTATAACTGCACTTCTTGAGCACTAAGGAAGGTGTGAAGGCCAAAATGTGGCCTGGGAGAAAGGAGGCAGGGTGCTTGTGTATGCTCCGGGGAGCAGAGCAAATCCTGTTATTTAGAGACAAAGCGCATGTTGCTGGTAAAAGACCATGCAGTGAGCACATCCGGTCTTATACTGCTCTCCTATGTTTAATAAGCTTCTCTCCTTAGCCTACACTTCTAGAAAACATATCAAAGCACTCAGGGATTGCCTCAGGTAACACGTGTTACAGCCTGGCTATGAAACTTGTGCTGTAGCACAACTGAGGAAGGACAGAAAGTGAGTAAGAGTGAGTAACTGTGTTGAGGACTGATGTCTGTGACTGCATGTCTAGGTCAGGGGTTTTTGAACTTTTTGAGGTTAAGGACCCCAAAATATGATAATTCCATTGCAAATGAGTCCTTTCTAAAATATTTTCATGTAGACCCATGTGTCATTTATACTATGTGAGAAAAATAGTAAGCATGATATAATAGTATGTACAACATGTTGTTTAAATGATTTGTTTTTACACTATTACTGAACTTCTAAAATATAAATATTTTGTAGCGACATAAAATGTCTTTGCTCTATTTCTTTTTTTGATCAATGTTATGCATCATTGCTGTATAAAATCAATGTATTACTGACTCCAAACTGTTGAATGATAGCGTAAACATTTTTACAATACATTTTTTATTAATATATTATTTTAAATATTATTATTATTAATATTATTACAAAATGTAATTTTGTACAAAAATGTATGCATATTTATCTTGTATTTCTGATTAAAAATACATTTTGTAATTATTTAATCTTCTCAAATTTTCCTCGGACCCCCTTGCAGCCCTCTGGGGGTCCCCTAAACCCAAGTTTGAAAACCCCTGATCTAGTCAACATGGTTAACAGCTGGATTTCCAGGAAAGCTGTGTCTGTTGTTTGATTAAAGTATAGGACAATTAGACCATCTTTCAATGATAAGACGACTCTGAGCTTTGGTCCACTGATTTTACGGTGCTTAAAGAGGATGTGTCTCTGTGATATTGCTCCCACCTCGCTTATATAGTTAGAATTAAAAGGTAATGCTATAATCTACCAAGTTCAGTCAGGAGAAGACACAGCTTTCAGGTCCAGGTTCAGTAAAGGTTAGGTGACATGCTGGTTTCTTTAAATGCCTTTATGAGCAAGTTCACTTATATCAGTATGACCTTCTAGCCTTGACATATTTAAAGTATGACTTAAGTATGACTTAAGACTTAAGTACTGATCATACCACACCATTTGATGAGAAAGGTTTGACAAATAAGGAAGTTAAGTCACAAACACTTCAGACTGTAGGATCTAAATTAAATCCTTGCGAAACCAACTCATAGAGGATACTGTTCATTTCCATTTGTATCTTTTCATTCTAGTGGGAGTCTATTTCAGTCATGAATAGGAATAATTGTTAGCCATGCTTAAAAGAAGGTAAATAAAATTGTTAGAAAAAAGGGAAGAGAAAGACAGCAGCCCAATTATTAGCAGTCCACATGGGATAGTTCAGACCTACCGTCCTCGTTGGTACGGACACGCACAGCTGTGCTCTCTGGGCCGGGGCCCACATCGGTGTGTGCTCTCACCCACACCTGATACTCTGTCCACTTCTCCAACGCCTCCAGCACACAGCTGCTGGCATCCGCTCCAATGTCCGGTACCTCATGGCGCTCAGTGTCTTCGCCGTTCACTGCCTGGTAGCTGACTGTGTAGCGCACAATAGCGCCGTGGCGACTAGCGGCGGGCGGCGCCACCCAACTCACCTTGATGCTGGTGGAGCTCAGACTGAGCAGGTGCACGTCTTGAGGGGGGGCTGAGGGGGCTGCAGGTGGGGGCAAGGCAACGGGGAGGGCATCAAGCAAAATTAAACAACTTAAAGCAAGCTGGCTTCTGGACTGGACTGGTTGGCACAACAATAGAGAATATCTTACTTAGTGTTGTATTTTTGTCTAATTTCAAATTAGAATTCTAAACTGATTTCATGACTTCGAAGCCAAGTTATAATTTTTTTTTTTTTTTTACTTTGCTGTGATATCAAAAACTGAAAAAATTCCGTACTGCTCGGCACAACCATCTGCAAATGATACTAAGACACAACCAGGGTGTAATACTAACTATTCTGTTCACCACCGTCTGTGGCTGGAATTGTAAAAATTTGACACTCAAATTTTTTATTATTTATATATTAGCATTATCATTATTTTTCAAAATAACTATGTATGTGAAACTGGACAAATGCACAAAACATTAAATCCTGACACTTTTTTTTAGCAGTTTTATTTTACAATATAGTCTATTAAATATTGTTTTGGATAAGCTCTAAAGTTGATGTGTTGGGTTATCTTTTTGAAATTACTAAAAAGAAATATACAGTATACAGTGCTGCTTGAAAGTTTGTGAACCCTTTAGAATTGTCTATATTTCTGCATAAATATAACCAGATTTTATTATAATCAGATTTTCATGCAAGTCCTGAAAGTTGACAAAGAGAATCCAATCAAACAAATGAGATGAAAATATATACTTTGTCATTTATTTATTCAGGAAAATTATCCAATATTACATATCTGTGAGAAGCAAAAGTATGTGAATCTCTAGGATTAGCTTTTAATTTGAAGGTGAAATTAGAGTCCATCTGTTCAGAGGTATTTTTAATCAGTGAGATGACTGGTCAGGTGTCAGTGTGTGCCCTGTTTTATTTAAAGAACAGGGATCTATCAAAGTTTGGTCATGTTTGAGGAAGTGTATCATGGCACAAACAAAAGAGATCTCTGAGGACCTCAGAAAAAGAGTCGATGTTGTTCATCAGGCTAGAAAAGGTTTCAAAGCAATCTCTAGACTAGAGTTTGGACCCCACCGGGGCTGCAGGTGGGGGCAAGGCAACGGGGAGGGCATCAAGCAAAATTAAACAACTTAAAGCAAGCTGGCTTCTGGACTGGACTGGTTGGCACAACAATAGAGAATATCTTACTTAGTGTTGTATTTTTGTCTAATTTCAAATTAGAATTCTAAACTGATTTCATGACTTCGAAGCCAAGTTATAATTTTTTTTTTTTTTTTACTTTGCTGTGATATCAAAAACTGAAAAAATTCCGTACTGCTCGGCACAACCATCTGCAAATGATACTAAGACACAACCAGGGTGTAATACTAACTATTCTGTTCACCACCGTCTGTGGCTGGAATTGTAAAAATTTGACACTCAAATTTTTTATTATTTATATATTAGCATTATCATTATTTTTCAAAATAACTATGTATGTGAAACTGGACAAATGCACAAAACATTAAATCCTGACACTTTTTTTTAGCAGTTTTATTTTACAATATAGTCTATTAAATATTGTTTTGGATAAGCTCTAAAGTTGATGTGTTGGGTTATCTTTTTGAAATTACTAAAAAGAAATATACAGTATACAGTGCTGCTTGAAAGTTTGTGAACCCTTTAGAATTGTCTATATTTCTGCATAAATATAACCAGATTTTATTATAATCAGATTTTCATGCAAGTCCTGAAAGTTGACAAAGAGAATCCAATCAAACAAATGAGATGAAAATATATACTTTGTCATTTATTTATTCAGGAAAATTATCCAATATTACATATCTGTGAGAAGCAAAAGTATGTGAATCTCTAGGATTAGCTTTTAATTTGAAGGTGAAATTAGAGTCCATCTGTTCAGAGGTATTTTTAATCAGTGAGATGACTGGTCAGGTGTCAGTGTGTGCCCTGTTTTATTTAAAGAACAGGGATCTATCAAAGTTTGGTCATGTTTGAGGAAGTGTATCATGGCACAAACAAAAGAGATCTCTGAGGACCTCAGAAAAAGAGTCGATGTTGTTCATCAGGCTAGAAAAGGTTTCAAAGCAATCTCTAGACTAGAGTTTGGACCCCACCAATCCACGGTCAGACAGATTGTGTACAAATGGAGGAAATTCAAGAACACTGTTACCCTCCCCGGGAGTGCTCCACCAACAAAGAACATTCTAAAAGCAAGACGTGTAAAAGTCCACTAGGTTTCAAAGGACTGCAGGCTAACTTCTAAGCAACTAAAGGCCTTTCTCACATTGGCTAATGTTAATGTTTATGAGCCCATCATCAGGAGAACACTGAACAACCATGATGTCCATGGCAGAGTTGCAGGAAGAAAGCCACTGCTCTCCAAAAAGAACATTGCTGCCCATCTGCAGTTTGCTAAAGATCACGTGGACAAGCCAGAGGAATACTGGAGAAATGTTTTGTGGATGGATGAGACCAAAATAGAACATTTTGGTTTAAA